ATTTTTTCAATTTCTCATATTAATTCCATTCCCTTCTTTCCTTTCCTTTACCCTGTCCATTTCCCCTTCCCCTTTGCCCCCTTTCTTCCTATTTCACATTATCTATTATACCTTTTAGTCCTCATTTACACTTTCAGTTTCTCACACTAGAGAAACTATTTAGTATTTACACATGTGTATCCTATTTATTTCACTTAAGACTATGGCCTCAATGACATCCATTTAGCTATAAATTTCTCTACTTTCTAATTTTTTATGGCCATTTTATAAAAAAAAAAACAAAAACAAACAAAACACATTTTCTTTATCCAGTCTCCCGTTGATGGGCAACTGGGCTGCTTCTAAGTTTTAACTATTACAAATTGTGCTCCTATGAACATAGGTGCACACGTATCACTGTGATATGATTCTTTTAATTCTTCGGGGAAGATACCCAGCAGAGGAATAGCTGGGTCAAATGGGACCTCCAATCCTAGCTCTTTGAGGTATCTCCATACTGGTTTCCACAGTGGTTGCACCAGTCTACACTCCCATCAAGAGCCTCTTTCCTCACAGCCCTGCCAGCATTTGTTATTGGTCGATTTCATGATAGCTGCCATTCTTTTTGGGGTGAGATGGAAACTTAGTGTTGTTTTCTTTTTCTTTTAGGTATCAGGGATCGAACGTGGGTCCTTGCACTTGTGGGGATGGCAGGCGGCAGCACCACTGAGCTAAGTCCCTGGCCCCTTAGTGTTGTTTTCATTTGCATCTCTTGAATGACCAGTGATGTTGAACATGTTTTCATGTGTTCATTTGCTATTTCTAGTTCTTTGTCTGCGAAGTGTGTGTTCATTCTGTCCCATTTTGTAGATGTACCAGATGAGGCTCAGGGAGGCTAAGTCCCACAGCAGCCTTTCCAGAGTGTGTTGAGCCTGTCCATTCATCCTAGGACCCAGCAGTCACTTCCTGTCTGACTTCCATTGCCTTGAGACTGCTCCTCAGGGCAGCAGGGCTGAATTACCACAGAGCCATCTGTGGCAACAACCACACGAGGCCTAACGCTTAGTTTGGGAAGGAGCTGAGAGGGCTGCTGGAACCACTGGACAAGCCTGGTCCTGGCCTTGCTCCCCAACAATGGAGACCCAGGCTTTCCTGCTCCAGCCATTCACAAAAATTTGCTAGCAGTCACTGGTTGAGCTGGCCAAAACCAGCTCCTCTCTCTTCTGTGTTTGCTGGCGCTGGATTTCGTTGATACCTTTGTCAGGGGCCAGCTGGCTGCTTCCCATGAGACCTGTGGGTTTGGGTTTGGCTGGGCCAGGATGAGCCACTTCTGCTCTTAGCTGCCAGGCAAGGAGGCCGCTTTGGGCCTCAGACACAGGGGTGTGTGGTGCAGGTTGTGGAGACATAGTGAGCACTCCGTGTGACAGCGTGGTACACACAAGAGCAAGCACCCATGTCTGCCTGCGACTGTCTGCTCCGACCCTTGCTCTGGGGATGATGTCTCTGCTCAGTGAGGGGATGGCTTGAAAGATCAGAATAATATTCCATTTGGGCTACTGGTAGCACCTGCCTCTAGAGCAAGAATACCTTTGTGTTCTTTTGGTTTGAGAATGGAAATTATTAGCTTATGCTTTTTCCATCAGTCATTTAGTTTATTCTTTCTTCTTTGTGTTCTGAAATCAGATGTCTTGTTTTACTCTAAGACGCCTCTCTTTTATAAAAAATAAAGTTCTCAGAACACCACCGCTGCAGTTTGGGAGGCGGGTGCTGTAGGGAGAATAACTTCAAATTTTGTTTTAAAAAATGCTTCTTTTTTAACAGCAGTCCAAGTACAGACAAACATCTCTCTGTTCGTTTTTTATTTCATAATCGTTCCCAACTAGATATTCTGAGGGCTGCTGGCTTATTATGGTTCTCTCAATGTCGGACACTTTACCACATAATTTGTAGGTCTGCTTAAAAATTTTTGAAAGCAAAATTCCTAGGGCAAGTGGTTTTAAAGCTATGCATGGGCTCATATTTCATGCCTTCAGGGAAAGTGATGAGTACTTATTACTATCACGGGCTGCTCCACTCCTGCCCACCTCCACATTCTCTACTGCAGCTGATGGGGACAAAATAAGGATCTCCAGCTGAGCTGTAGAGGTACAGTGCTGGAGGAGCTCTCATGCAGCTCAGGGCAGTTTAACTTATCCCCCCCCCCACACACACACGTCAGGGCAGTTTAACTTATCCCAAGCATCTGCAGGCATTTGCAAAACAATGGGGAACCCAAATGAGGGCCATCACGTTGCTGGCTTGGGACAAGGTCATAGTAGCCCATATTAATTGGGCACCCACTATGCATTCCAGGCTGAATGGGATGACAGAAGTCCACTGAGTCCATTCTGCAGGACACTGCTCTGCCAGGTCTATCTAGGGACTGCAGCCTGCTCGGGGCCTGGCTTCTTGTTCCCAGCTGTGCCAGTCTCTCCTGGACAGCACTGAGGATTACTTGAAAGGTTAAGAAACAAGAAAACCAAGCCTCAGAGAGGTTACTTTGTTCCCTTAGGATTGCTTAGCTAGTTAGTGGTGAGGCTTGTGTTAGAACTCAACTCTGTGTTTCTATTCTAACTTGTTGTCTAAAACACTATCTGACTGGGCTTTACCATCATTTATGGAGGGCACTGTTACAAGGTTTAGGCAACTGAATCACCTTTTGATTGCTAAGGTTATTGTCATCATCATAGTGGTAACAGCAGCCACACATCTGACCCTTTCACAGTACTCTTTCTGGGCTGGTCTACCCTCCACCACGTCTTCCTAATGATCTAAAAAAGACAGGGCTAGGGCACATCAGGAATACTTCTGGCACCCTGGATGGCCAGCCATACTACAAACTCTTGAGTACATGGCTCTTTCTTTGTTCAGAGTTGGACAGGGAACAGTTCAAGAGGGAGTTCTCTGCCAGCCAGGGCCCAAATTCATGTAAGAAGTTTGGGAGAGCATTTCACTACAAGAATCAACACCTGGGAACCAGATGTGTGGGATGCTTCTGCTGGAGATGCAAGTGTCTCCCTGGCCCTCTGCATCTGCAGGCAGAGGAGCCCATTCACCCCAGCTGCTGAATGAATGAATGAGTGAATCGTGGGGGAAAGGCTAGTTCACTGATTCAACTTGCTTTGAGATTCAGCTCCATCTGGAGGTTAATCAGAGATGTCAGTGGGCTTGCCCAAGGCCACAGAGCTCCCGGAACATTTAGAAGGAAAGTAGGGATCATGTGTGCTTGCGTGCATGTGTGTGTGTGTGTGTGTGTGTGTGTGTGTAAGAGAGAGAGAGAGAGAGAGAGAGAGAGAGACAGAACAGGCTCAGCTGCTCCTAAGAAGCCTCTCAGTCCTACAGGGCTTCAATCTGGACAGGGTCCAGATTAATCCAGGATCTCACTACTGACCCACCAAGTGTCACTGTGATTACAGTCTGTATTTGCGGTACCCCATCTCTGCTGCTGCTGTCCTCTGTGTTCCTCTGATGCTCAAAGCATTCCCTCTTCCACATGAGGCAGAACCCTCTCTAAATCTCCTTGGGCTCTGGCATGGAGCTGAAGCAAGGACTTTGGTGTGCAGGGCTGCCACCTACATGGAGCTAAAAATCCCTGTGGGAGAGACAGACTCTTACCCACCAGTTACAGAAAATGGCATCTTCTACAACTAGGGACAGCACTGCCCGTGGCCTTGTCCTACTCTAGGGACTTAGAGGCAGGGAAGGCCACAATGTGTGGAACCAAGTACAAATCCAGATGTGGGTCCCTTATTAAAAAACTATTGAGAATTCCAAGATGGCCACAATCAGAGCATTAAACCCTTCTGAGCAGGAGTCCCTGTACATTTGCACAGGCTGAACACCCAAGAAGCCTGACCTGCCCAGAGTGCTGCTCCCTAGGCAATGGAACTGGACCTGAGATCATAAGAATTCAGAATAACAGTAATAAAAGTATCCAACATGTATAGAATCCAGTGTGCCAGGCATGGCTTCATGGGAGAGAGGTATGATCATTCATCCCATTTTACAGAGAGGTCAGTAAGGTTTAGAAAGGGTAAGCAACTGCCCTGAGGCCACACAGTTTGCAAGTGGTGAAGCTTGGGCTTGAGCTCAGGTGGTTTGGCCTTAGTATATGTGGCCCCAACCACTGTGCTTTCCTGCTCCAAGTTTCTGAGGCCCATTCCAGATCCCAAGGGCCCAGGCAGCCTAAACATTGTTGCTGAGCCATGAAAGCCTCAATCTAGGGGACCCCAGGCCTTGGCCAGAGTCACAGGGGAGGGACTGTGGCTGTTCTGTGATAGCTGGGTGCTGAAGTATAGGCTGGACAGGCGGAACCCATGGCAAAGGGCAGAACAGGCCCAGAGCAGGGCGGGGAGAGCCTGGTGGCTCCGGATGGGGTGTGTGCAAGGCCCGCCTTCCAGCCATGGCTCCACTGGGTCTGGGGAAAACTGCAGAAGCCACGCGTGGCCCTCTAGTTCTATTTGTGCTGGGAACGATCCTTTCCCCACCACAGTCTGCAGAGCCTGTGGCTGGGCCTGTGGTACAGGGCTGGGGGCCTGGGTTTTGGGGTGGTCCCTGGGCTTCACTGCTGCTCTGTTGAGGAGGGAGGGCTGAGCAGTGGACTCTGACACTGTTGTCAGCTGGGGATTGCACCAAGGCCCAGGGACAGTGAGCCAGGTTTAAGACTCTTGCGGAGCTGCAGAAGAATTTCAGGAGCCTGCTCTCATTCCTGCCGGAAACCCAGGGCACTGGGCCTACCTTGCCCAGCACCAATTTGCTGGGCGGCCTTGGCCAACTACACACCTCCCTGAATCTCAGTGTTGCCAACTACAGAATACGAACAACAAGCCCCACTTCAGGCACTTCTTAGGGCGGGTTCCCACTTTCTTGATGGTTCCTGCCTGGACCACAAGGCTCATCTGAGTTTACAATGAAATAAAGCCCGGGAAAGCCTTTGGGGAACAAAGGCACATTATAAATACGAAGTATTATTTTTGTTCCAGAGTGAATCAGGCATTCCAAGAATCCTCGGCCTCAAAGTCCTGAGGCAGCGTGATGTCATGGGAAGAGTACGCGGCTGCCCTGGGGAGCTGTCAGCCCCACGTGAACCTGGAGGAACACTTCCAGGGGAAGGCCCTCGCCCTTCCGCTCAGCCTAGTCAAGTCCCATAGGCTCCTAGGTCCAGCCTGTGGACCCTCACTGCAGCCTGCTGGTGAGTCTGGGCATCCCCCAAGCTATACAGGAGTCTGAAGTGGGGACTCTGGAGCCAGATCCCTAGAGTTCAAATCCCAACACTACACTTCTAGCTCTGCAATTTTCAATAAATTCCTTAACCTCTCTGGGTCTTTGCTTCTTTCATCTATCAAATGAGGACAAACAGAAAGCCCATCTCACAGGGGTCTTTGAGTTTTAAAGGAGTTGAGGTTATAGCTGTATTAATTATTGCTTGCTTGTAGTAATGTTATACTGTGGGCTTTCCAAGCCAATATAGCATAAATGTTACAGATAAACATTGTGTATCCACAGTGTTGGCAAGAGAAATGAGGTTGCCCCAAATGTCAAGAGTGAAGGAAGAAACCCCAGGGTGTCTAGCTTCTGGCTCCTCCTCTAATTCTGGCCACTAAGGGCTGTGCTTTGGCTACAGTTTTCTCTAGAAAAACCTTTCATCACTAAGCACCCTCCATTATTATCCCTGACAGATGTTGCCCAAGGGGTAGCCACAGGCTTGGAGACCACATTTAGTGATCTCCTTACCCCAGCCCAACCCTGGCCACCAGTGTTCACTCCAGATCACCTTGGCAGCCTGGCCAAGGGCTGCAGTTGGCTCTGTGCCATCTCACTCCACAAGCTTCTGAATTCTGATGGCCCCTGCCGGACTTAGCCTTTGCCCTATTTTAATGTCACCATCTCTGTTTAGTAGCCTCTATCTACCAGGAGCAGCTAGGATGATGATGTGGGGAAGGTGGAGAGGAAGTCCCTTACATGTTGCTTTGAAACCCATGTGTGAACAATCACAACCTCTCTGGGGCTGGGGCTGGGTGGCCTAAGCAGGGAAGGCTCTGTGGGGGCTCACTGAATGGTGGAGATTTCTCACAGGGAGGCCGGCCCCTAGTGCAGGGGGCAGCCTGGAAATGTAATGAGCTTCCTGTTCCTGACAGATCCAGTCTCTGGGCTGTAGTGCAGTCCTATGATTTCAAGTCCCTCATCTGCCCATCCTGAGATCAGTACTTCATCCAGGACACCTTCTGCTCCTCAGCAGCCTCCCTAGGAGTCCTCAGTGGGCTGCATGATGCCCACTGACACCTTGGGGAATGAGTGCTTGTCCCCACCTAACTGGCTGGTTTTAGACAAGTCACCTTACCTTGATGCCCCTCTATGGTCATATCAATCAAACCGCTCTCACAACATCTGTCCATGCAGTGGCATAAGGACAAGATCAGTAGATGCCTGGCCTTAGCCCCTCATTCCAACCTTCCCAGGTATTTTCTGCGTCCATCCCCCCAATCTATCCCTGGGGCTTCCTGCCTCCATTCCTACTCTCACAGCTGGAGTAAGCGTGGAGTGGACAGATGCACTTGAGCACAAGGTGCAGTAAGGTTACTGAACTCAGGGGCATTGCTACTTGCTTACCCATTCCCAGATCTCCCCTCGCCCTTTATCCCACCTTATCTGTGGTTCACTTTCTATGGTTTCAGTGCCCTCATCAACTGTGTAGTCTGACAATAAGAAACGGGAAATTCTAGAAACCAATGATTTACAAGTTATAAGTTGCATGCTTTTCTGAATACCGTGATGAAATCTTGTACCCTCTTCTTTGGTTCCATTCAGGATGTGAATCATCCCTTGGTCCCATGTATCCACATTTATATGCTACCTACTTGGTAGTCATTTAGCAGCTGCCTGTGATCAGATTGCCCACTGTGCTGTCACAGTACTTGTTCAAGTAACCCATATTTTATTAACAATGATCCTAGAACACAAACGTGGCCATACAGTATTGGCAATTTGGTTATGGCAAAGAGAAGCCATAAAGTGCTTCTTTTAAGAGAAAAGGTGAGTGTTCCTGACATAATAAGGAAAGAAAAAGGCTGTATGATGAGGTTGGTAAGATCGACATTAAAAATAAATTTCTCTGTGAAATTACAAAAAAGGAAAACCAAATCTATATAGTTTTGTTGTTGTACCTCAAACTGTGGAGTGAGGTACACAGTGTGCCAAGTGCCTAGTGACCTACCTGGCTTCATCCCATAATTCCAGCATCCCATGAGTACAAGAAGGGCGAACACAGTATAGTAAGGTATCCAAGAGTGAAAGTTGGCTTTTACATCGCCCCCACCCCCAACAGGAATCGAGCTCAGGACCTTGCACTTGCCAGGCAGGCATGGTGCCACTGAGCTACATCCCTGGCCCTCACATAACTTTTATTAGAGACTATTGTCACAATCATTTTATTTTATTATTATTTATTATTGTTAATCTTTTTCAGTGCCTAATTTATACATTAAACTTCATTATAGAAAAAAACCTAGTATACAGTGTTCTATATTATCTGGAATTTCAGGCTTCTCCTGAGGAGCAAGGAGATCTTAGAACTTAGCCTCCCTAGATAACGAGGGAATACTCAGATTTAATGAACACATTTGTGGTTCCTACCTGTGGGGGACACACGTGTTCCCATCTAATCCTCACAACAACCCTGGGGAGCCTTTTACCCCCAAGGAGACTTCCAGGACCTGTTCTGGGTTCCCCTCTTGGGCCCCTGGGGTCCATGTTCTTCATGCTGAGTGGCCAACCCACATAACTCTTCCAGGAAGAATTCCTCAATGCCATTTAAACAAGCCTACAGTAGTAGGAAGAACTGAGTTACACACAGTGCTGGGTGCTTGGGACTAGTGAAAACAGTTGCTTTCTCTATGACTAACCAGCTCATGGGGTGAACTGCAGCTGAAGACAAGTTAGGAAAAGCGGGGAAAAAAAATCCAACTTCCTTTCCCCCAGACTTTCTACATTAGGAGTTACCCAAGTTTCCCAGCCAGTGCAACCTGCTGAGGAGCTTGCTGAGGTGAGGAGATGGGGTGTTGGAGGTCTGGCCCTGGCCAGAAAGCTGGGGTCTATAGGTCTCTCCACAACTACGTTTGAATATTACTCCTTTGTGATCACATCAGATCTGATGAATAAATGGCAGTGAAGGAACAGAATGAGACACTGCCTCTTTGGCTGGCCTCTCCCAAAATTAGAATGGAACAAGACTTCACTCTTTTCACCCCAAACTGACATCACCAGACTCTGGCATGTCTGCTGTGTGCAGGGGCTTAGGCAGCTGCAAGACAGCATTCCTGTCCTCACGCATCTTAACATCTTGTGGCAGGACCACTGTGTCACTCAGAAAAGCCATTAGCAACAGTGTGAGGCCAGCCTGGATGTCTCATGAGTTCTGTAGGTGAAGTCAGGAAGGCTTCCTGGAGGAGATGGGTGATGGAGGGACACAGAGGGAGAGGAACGAGGAGCAGAGACACATGGTAGTGACGGAGGGTACAGACAGGAAAGTGGGGGTGGGAGAGACACCCAAAGTTCTGCATAGAAGCTGCAGTTCCACCCTGTGTCAGAGGCCAGAGACTAGCACTAGGTCTTCCAGCCTTCTGCATCTGTATGAAAGGACCATGACCACAGGGAGGTCCCCCCTCTATCTACCATTCTCAGTGGCCATGACTCTCATTTCACCACACACTGATCCAACATCTTTGCTGAAGTGTTTCTCCTTATCATCTTCATCCCTGCAAGCCTGGCCTCCTCTCTTTCCAGGAAGAACAACCAGAGAGCTCCGAGACTGCCTATCCTGTGCCTGAGATTCCCCACCATCAATCAAGGCTATCACTGCTCTCTCATTCTAGCTGGAGTGAACATTACAGGACAGGAAAGAAGGGAAGAAAGCTTCAACACCCTGCATGGACTGTATTTTAACGCCTAAGCAAGCTGTGGGCCTGGGATTTTAAAAATGAGCACCCTAGGGAAGGCACATTCAAGAGGGAAACTCTGGAACCTGGGTACTTCTCAAAAGGCAGGCAGGTATTAAGGCTGTGCGTGGGACTGGAAAACTGCAGAGCCAGAGCTGAAAGGGATCTGTGAGACACTGTGCTCTTCTGCTTCAGCCCAGCCCTAGAGAGGACCTCAGGCCCTCTGGGCCAGTCCTGGGAGGCTCTTGGAAGGGCCCTCAGGTAAAGCAAAGATGTCCCCATACCAGGTAGCAGAGGAACCAGGATAGCTCTGGAGCTGCCCAGGTTTTGTGGGTAGTGGAGTTCTACCGAGCTTGCAGGACATCCAGGGCACCTGCCTCTCTCCATTAGCCATCTCATCTCATCTCAGCCGCCCTCCTGGGACAGCCTTCTCCTCTCTCAACTTCATTACTGTCGAGTTTGCTTGTCCCTAAAGGGCCATTTGTTCCATCCTGGGAAGGAGAGGAAATGTGAAATGAGTTGGCTGGAGCAGAGCCTCCCTTGGGGCACATTCTTCATCCAGGTCTGATGTGACTGATGAGTCCGTGGTGAGATGTTACCACAAGGGAGGAGCCAGCAACAGCTTGACCCACAGCACGAGCCCAGACTCCAGCCTGCCCATCTCAGGATATGGCTGCCCAGTGATGGTTTCTCGGGCCAAAACCTTTCAAAACATAAGGGGCTTGTAGCACGATGCTGATAATCTTTACTCTGAGCACCTACTCAGCCAGGCTTCAGGAATGTGTTCTAGGACACTGGGTTAGGTTTCAAGGAGGTCCTTCCCTGGACCCCATATGCTGGAGTCCCAGGCCTTAGGATGCTGAGTTTAAAACTAACCAAAAGCCAAATATGGTGGTGCACACTTGTCATCCCAGTACTCAGGAGGATTCCAAGTTCAAGCCCAGCTTGGGTTACACATCGAGTTCAAGGCTAGCCTGGGCCACCTAGTAAGACCCCGTCTCAAAATAAAACCAAACAACTTCCTCTCACAGTAAAGAGCCAACTAGTAAGTTGAGGAGGAATGATGGAATAGGTAGCCATTTGGCAACCAATATAATAATGTTTCATCAATGGGCTGGGGATTAGCTCGGTGGTTCTGCCATCTGCCTTGCAAGTGCAAGGTCTTGAGTTCAATCCCTGGTACCAAAAGAAAAAAAAAAAGTCACACACAAAAGTTTGTTTCATCAAAAGAGGCCATGGGGGGCAGGGGATTTGACTCAGTGGTTCTGCAGCCTGCCTTGCAAGTGCAAAGGCTCAAGTTTTGATCCCCAGTACAAAACAACAACAACAAAACAAACAAACAAATAAACAAAAGAGGCCATGGGGTAAAAGTTTGAGGAAAAATAGAATATTGGCATAGTTTCAAATGATCTCCCCACAAGGTATTCTTAATTACAAAGGGAGAGCTTACCACTTGATAGTGGAGAAATTGGGCAGGTACCACTTTAACCAGGTAGTCAAAGTTAACCTCACCAGTCCTGGGATTAAAAGACTGTGATTGTGATCATTACACTGTAGCGATGAAAAGTCTTTGTTTTAAAGAAACACCTTGTAAAGCATTCAGCAGTAAAGGGCATTGTTTTGGCAGCTTAACTCTCAGACCAGCCAGAAAAGAATGTACATGGGAGACAGAATATAATGTTAACAACTGGGGCAATCTAAATGAAGGTGAGGCAAGAAATCTTTGTGTGATTTTTGCAACTTTTCTGGGAGATTGAAATATTACCTGAATCAAAAGTTTTTAAAAAGGAGTAGTAGGCTTTGGTTAAAGCGGGGACACAGGGAGCTTCTAGGGAGGCAGAGGTAGAAGGATCACAAGCTCAAGGCTATCCTGGGTAACTTGGCAAGACCCTGTCTCAAAAATGAAACAGAGGCATGGGGATTTAGCTCAGCAATAGAATACTCCCGGGTTCCCTAGGATCACAAAAAGGCACACAGAGAGGGTAGTCTTAGAGAAAATGGCAGCCTTGACAAAGACTTGAAACTTTTCTGTGGGGGGGCAGTTTTTAACGTACCAGTCCAATCAGATAAAACACAAGAAAATAGACCAACAAGGGCCTTGCTTTACTATGCAGGACGTAAAATGTATAGACCCCTTACCTTATGGGTGCCACTAACTGCTCTGGACACAGCTATCTGTGCTTGTGGGTATTTCAGACCCTCAGAGAGCACACTGGGATGAAAGTGTCAGGGCAGTCTGAAGGGCCCTAGGAGCACCCTGAGCACCAGCATCCCCTGGAGCATGTCTGCTTGTCCTCTTGGATCACATTTAGAAAGTCAAAACTCCCAAAGCAAGATGCCTCTTCGGGGTGGGGGGCCCTCTATGGTCTTGTCATTGTACCTGCTCCTTAATGAATACAGGAAAGATGGGTTCTTAACCCATGTGGAAACTGGGGCAGTTAAGGGGTCTGCCTGGTTGATCCTGGCTCAAATCTTTTAGACTTGAGAACTCCTCTCTCAGTAATATGGTATCTCATAAACATTCTAAAGTTGAAAAAGTATAAGATAAAGAAGTTATTGATATCAAATATAGCTGTTTGATTGGTACATTATTGGAAGTGAATTATAAGGCTTATGTTTAACACTGACATTAAAACATACATGAATAAGGGGGAGAAGGGAGGGCAGGGATAAGGGGAAAAAATGAGAACCAAGGCCGGTCATGTAAAGGTACAAGATCCCAATGATGAATGTAACTGTACTAAATATCTAAAATGTACCAATAAACTCAATGAGAAAAAAAAAAATCCATGAATAGAAGTAAACTTGAACTTTCCCCCAACTATCAAGTGATGCATCCTCCTTTCTTCATGGTAAACAAGTTATGAAAGCAAAAGCATCATTTTCTACAAAGAAATTTCAAAATGACATATCTCCATTACATTGTGGCTTTGGCACCAGATACACACTAAACTGGAGGCTAAAGTTTGACTATATAAGGCATAAGAAGAAACAAAAAAACAAAAATTGATTTCGTGGCTCACTGTTTGGAATTCTGGAATTTTATGGTCTTTTTAAAAAAAAGTAAGTAAAATACTCTTGCTTTGTTTCTAAATGACAAGGCCAAGAGTTTTCAGGAAGCGCTCACAATTGCGTCTGCCCAAATAGCATGCAATGGGAGTGAAAAGCAGTCAGGTGGATGTTACCTCCCATCCTCTGCTCTGCAGGCTACAGAAGAGATGTTTGTCCAGATGGATGAGCCTTTTGGTCCTGCAGTGCACCCAGATGCAAATGTGCAGAATTATTACCACTTACATATTCCTCAAGAACCAGCCTTTTATAATCTGTGTTCTTGAATGCTTCCTGCCTTTAGCCAACAGTCCATTATGGGTAAAAATTAAGTATTTTACTGAGTAAAAATAATTTAAAACTACATAATGGTGAAAACCACTAGAGTGACTCTTGGAGCTGTGAGTGGTCAACTGGCCAAGGTGCTGGCTCTGTGGTGGGTTCCTGCAGCCTCCATTAAACCTAGTGTTCCCTGGATGCCAGTGGGGAGCCTGGGTGCCAATGGGGAGTGCTGTGTTACCCTGGAAGTAGAAGACACCTGCGGAATAGTGGTAAGGGCCAGAGTCTGGCCACTTTCTTAACGTATATACCTGGGTAAAGAGGTTATTAGTTTGTGCCTCAGTTTCCCAAAAGTGCAACGGGGAAAGACAATGATAAAGATAATTGCTTAAGGTTCTGCAGATTGAATGAGCTATCCCTTGATCATGCCTGACACAGACCAGAGATCAATATGTAGCTCCTGCCACTTCTGTTGCCACTGCTTTACTTGGAACAAGGTGGTGACAAAGTGAGACTCCAGGCATGGTGCTCTCACTTTCTCTGTAAATCGGGAGGCCTGAGCCCAGAAGCACTTCCTCTGGTATCCCCAGGTTTCTTTGGCAGAATTTATGTCCTTCCGGGGACCTCAAGTCTACAGCTCCATGGGTACGTTCACAGGGTTTGGGTTCTCCAGATCACCCTCGGAGAGCTTCAAGATTTGGGTCTCAGCCCCTTCTGGGTACTGCCTTGGTCACCCAAGTCCAAGAGGAGGGCCCTCTGTCTGTCCCTGGTAGCTCTTCTAGAGTTGATGTCCACATTTTGATGTGGAACCCAAGGCTTATCCCTGGCAGCAGGTGCAACCACAGGGCTCTGCTGCCCACTGCTTAGTTCACTTTGCCCAGGGCCAGGCTGGCCTGGAGATGACAGTTCAGGTTCTTGCTGTGGATCCTGAGCCCTGGGAAGTGGTTATGAGCATGAGGATGAGGAGGGCCAGTGCAGAGGGCAGAGTTGGGCCAGCAGGGGTGACTGGGACCCATCCCATCCCATGCTATTTTGCCCAACAGAGGGCAAGGTCTTCCAACGGGGCCAACAAAACATCTTCCCAGAGGTCCCTTGAGTAAGGATTCTGTCCCTCACAAAGGTGCCCAGGCCATGGTGTGCAGGCTTGGACTACAGTTGAGCTTGCTTCTCAGATACCCAGTTTCCCTCCAGGGCCTATCTTGGCCTAGGCCAGTGAGGGTGAACCTTCTAGAACTTTCAATGATATAAACATCTCCTTGGGCACATGTGCCAAAGGTTCGTCACTACTGGCCGAGGCTAACTCTCCCCACCATTCCCTTCACTCCAATCTGAAGGCACCTAAATCATGTCAATCTTACAGGTGCTGAGGGTATGAGTAGAAATGAATACCACTCTGGTGACACTCAGAATTTCAGCGCTATGAACCTGGGGCAAGAAAAGCCTTTGAGACAGAGTGACCAGCCATCCAGAATGGATGGTGGGAGCGGACTTCCTTTCTGCTGCTTCAGATCTGAACTCTGATGCTAGAACCTCTTGGGTTATCTAAAGGACTTATGTCTGGGCTATGGTAAGAAGGCCCAAGGGAGGGCGGTAGAACAGATAGCTGGACATGACTAGAATCATGGAGGAGTGAGAGGTCTCAAGAGGATAATGGAAGTAATTTTGGGCAGGGTTACCTCCCTGTCCATTCGTTCATTTACTCATTAGACACTTGCTGAGCATCTGCTATGTGCCAGACAGTGCTCTAGGCACCAGAGAAAAATCTGATGAAAATGCATTGCCCTTTTGGAGCTTGTCATGTGGCGGGAGACATAGTAATAACAGACACATGCACTAGGTAGTGTCAGACCTGCACTAGGTAGTGAAATTCTATGGCACTAGGAAGCCTGGAAGGAACATCTGGATGGTAGCACATGTTGGGGGCATCCCTGGTAGGGTAGCACTTTTAGGCAGTATAGTTAAGACAGGTCTAACTGATACTGAGCCATTATGGTGGGCAGAAAGAGAGGAACCATATACATATCTAGGAGAGGAGTGATCCAGGTAGAGGGGACAGCAAGTGCAAAGGCTCTGCAGTAGGAGCTTGCTAATGTATTCAAGGTCCCCAAGGAGGCCACTGCAGCTGGACACAGGGAAAGGGTGCAGCACATAATAAGAGGGGTGACAAGAGCCACACCATCCAGGGCCTTGCAGACCATTGAAAGGACACTGTCCCATATCCAATATGAAACGAGGAACTACTGGAGGGCTCCCTACAAAGCAATGACCTTTGAAAGGGCACAGTCAAAGAGACCTATGGTGCTATGGGAATAATCCCCAGGCGAGCCAGAGGAGCAGGAAGAGGATAAGATGCTGGGGGAATTCTGATCTGATTTTAAAGTGGCAAGAATGGGTTGGGTATAAGATGTCCCCAAGGCATTTGAGTAAGAGGTAAAGAGTCCCAAGAATTCCACGCACAGCAGCTTATAAGAGAATGGATCATTTTGTGGTTTGTTCCTGTTCCAAATGTCAAGAACTCTGGTTATTTATGATAGAGAGGGTGGGGCCTTGT